ATACAAAACCAGTGTCAAACCCAGCTCCCCCCTGATGGTAATGTATCACTGTCAGCCCTGATGCTGGGGAGCAGCCCTGGGGAAAAGTCCCAGGCTGGACTCAGCCAGAGATGGCCACTGGGTCCAGGAGCTGGGTCCGGGCACTGGGTCCAGGAGCACAGGGCTGGCGATCAAAGGCAGAGTGGATGGAGTCTTCCTTGGGTGCTGGCCATGGAAGGAGCACAAGGGAGGCAGAAGGACTTTGCCCCTCGTGATCCCTCAGCTCTTTTACTGAGTATGAGGGATATGAACTGAGGGTCACCTGTCCTGTCTGCCCCTCCCTGCAGGCGCCCCCTTCACTCTCTGCCCCCTCCGTGTGGCACACAGGATTTAGCAGTGGCCTTGGTCTGCAGCAGCCCCTGGCAGGAACTCTGAACGTGGAGTGCTGTCACTGGTAGGAGCAGACACTGCTGTGAAAATCTGCTGTTAGCTTCAGACCAGGCAGGCAGTGAGAAGAGCTGTAGCTGAAGAGTCACATCACTGGGCAGTTAGTTCTGTTCTAGCCCAGTCCAGGACAGGGGTGAAGGAGAAAGCTCCATCCCTTAGGGAAACACCCTGAAGTGCTCCTAATAATTTGACTTGTGTTTGATTGTAACAAAGTACCTCTAGATGTGCTCACTTGGAACATGGTATGCATGGCTTTGGAGATGGTTGCCTGTCTGGCAGCTGTCTTATATGGAGATAAGTGGTTTTTTTGCATATCTTGTAAGTAATGTGAGGTTGTTTATCTTCATTTGAGATCTAACTATTCTCAGGTGCTGTATAGGTCCTGTGAAGGTGGAATTTGCTTAGTGATGCATAACTGAAGTTGGTTTTCTGTCCATTTTGTTTGCATAGGCTATTAATTCACTGTGATTTTTTTGAGAGGCTGATAAATTAGAAGGCTTTCCTATGAGGATGAGGAGGGAAACGTTCTCAGAGAAAGGTTGATATGTTTTCCCTGGCTAGTGAAATGTGGCATCTTCAGACTGCCTTCAATGATAAAGCATCCACATTGCTTTGTCCTGAGCAATTGAAATGCCAAAATTTCAAAGTCAGGCCTGTGGTGGTGTTTGTGTAGTTCTGCCCCAGCTGCAGAACCATTTCTAACCTGTTAAGGATCTTGGTTTTATACTCATTCCCCCCAGCTCCTTCAGAAATCCCTGCTGGAGACTCAGGTGTGCACCAGGGTACCCAGGACCAGCAGCTTGCCTGCTGGGGGAGCTCACTGAGGTGTGTGTCAGTGTTACTGCTAAGTGGTGAGTCCAAAATCCCTGCCAGTCTACTTTTTGCTTATCTTCTGAGTGTAATGGAGGCTGTGGCTTCTAATTGTTTCATGCTCTTGGGTCTCTAATACATGAACACTTCATTTCCCACTCGCTGGGGTGGAGCAGTGTGCAGTGTGGCAGCTCTTTGTAGCATAAGGCTCTTCCTTGGCCCAGGAGCCAGATGAGATGGTGCTGGGCAGTGCAGATCCCTGGGCAGCAGGAAGGAAGGGGAGTTACTCACATTGCTGTGTGTGGGGTCTCTTGTTTTCCAAACTGGGTACAAACAAGCCTTTCATTTGGTCTGGGTCCTGTGTGTGGGCCAGCAAGGACCATCTCTGTGCTGTCACAGCATCCTTTGGTGCTGCTGAAGTTGCTCAGATTTGAACAGGATAATGCCCTGATCCTTTGGTAGGAGCTCATTTCTGGCAGGTCACCTCTCTGTCCTGGGAATGCCAGTTCTAACAGCGTTCCTAGAAAGAGGATTAAGTCTCATGGGGCAGGAATTAATGTGAATAACAGGCAGCCACAAAGTCAGTCCTCTCTGGCTGAGCTTTCCATCCCATTGCAAAGCTGCTGTGTGGAGACAGGGAGGATCCAGGCCAGGACTGTTCTGTCACCCCAGGCATGCCTTGGGGCAGCAGGGGGATTGTGGTTGCTAACCCATCTGTAATGAACCTGATGCAGGAGATAGAAGGGCTCTTTAAAAGCACTGTGTGGAACGGAGTCAGCTGAAGGTCAGGAAGGACACTTGGCCTGAGAACAGGATAAACTGACTCCAGCCACACCAGGGCTTGAAATGAGAGGAGGTCTCCTGATTCTGGTGTGGTTCTGCCACGGGGCTGGCAGGGAGTGGAGCTGCTGGGGAGTGCTGACACTGGTTGGAGGGCAGAGCTCACTTCATCCTGGCTTTCAGTCTCATTCTGCCAGCCCACCCACGACAAGAGAGCAGGCCAAGCCCAGGGGCAGGGGAAGGGGCTCCCTGCAGCTCACCTTGGAGCCAGACTGGGGATTTGGTCTGTTTTGCTGTTGCTCAGAGCTCTGGCATGCCAAGAAATGAACTGCTTTAGAGGCAAGGGAAATGTCAGTTTTGTTCAGCTTGGAAAAATCTTGGGTCCAATCCTATTTGAACTGGCCTTAAATCAGACTTGCAATGGCTGCAAATGCTGTTTTGGTTTATGGCAGAGTTAGCTGTGTGCAGGCTTCAGCTTGACTTCACCCAGTTAGGACACTTTGGCATCAGTGTGATGAAACTCCTCTGAAAGAAGAGCAGCTGAGTGGTGTCTGCTCTGAATGTTGTGTGCTCAGGGGCTGTTGTCTGCTTTGGCTCCTGCAGCTTCCCCTCTGGGCCTTGGTTTGGTGCCTGGTGTGCAAGTGGCACGGCTGGAAAAGTCCATCAGGCTCTTGGTGGCTGTCTCTGAACTGGGACTGAAATGCCTGCAGAGCACCAGGCTGGCTCTCTGGAGACTGGCAAGCAGAGTCAGGGAGTACTGGGAGCACTGGGTGGGATTTTGGTCACTAAATACTCTGAGGCAGTGTTTCTTCAGAGGAGCTGTTCATGGGACTGTGGGTGCTCCTGAGGAGGATGGGTGGTGATCAGCCAGTGAAGGTGTTCTCTGAAAATCACAGCCTCTCTTTGATTAACTGTTGCTTTTTTAGGTGATTTATTTTAAAGTGAATACTACATTTGTGAAATAATTGTTTTCTTTCTCTTCAACAGTGGGCCACTATTCGGATAGAAAAAGGTGTCAAAAAGCCACGGCCACAGATGAAGACTCCTGCTGCTAATGGTGAGAGCTTGGGGTGAAGTCGGACTGAGCAGACAGTGTTCTGAAGTAGGAGAACCAAGTCCTCTTGAAGTGGTGAAGTTAGCTATGTGCTTGAGAGGACTGGAGAAGAGGTGGGGTGGTTACAAGCTGACTTACATGTGTTTTGCAATGCTGCTGGGACAGAGATGGTTCCTGCAGAATGACATGCTGCTTCTGCTGGACTGTACTGAATGGCTGAATGATCAGGGGATGAGGAAATGAAGGGTATGAAATAACATTGTTTAACAAAACAAAGTAGACCTTAAGATGGAGACTGTGCTCAACTGAGGGACATTTCCAAGTTACAGTAGGAGCTTGGTTTTTGTCTGTCTTCAGGTCACAGCTTGCAGGGCTGCTGGCCAAATATTTCAGTCCTAACAGCATCAGAGTATGTGTAATTTCTGAGGAGATCCCAATGTTCAGTGGGCAGCACTTTTCTTCCCCAGGCTCAGTGCTCTCCTGCTGTAGGAGTGCTGGATGAAGTGTGAGGTGTTGCACTTGTTCCCTTGCCAGTTTTGCCCCTGGCAGTTATCTCAGTGTTGGCTGGGTGAGCTTCTTACAGCCATTATCTGTAGAAGACAGCTTGAAGAGTTGCTTCATATTTCTTCCTTTAGCCTAATTTTGAAATGAGTGTTTTTGCTATATCTTAACCCATAGTGTGCATGTGTTGTGGTAGGCTGTCCTGGGAGAGAGAGGGCTGTAAGGCCTGGGAGCTGTGAGCAGAAGACTGAACAAGGCATTGCAGCCAGTGCCTGGCTTTTTTTCCTCCTGTGTGCTCCCTCTCTAGGCAGCACAGCTGGGAGCAGAACCAGCTTGCCAGTTAGTAGACAAGTTGGTGGTTGTCTGATTCTGTGAGTTAGCTCATGTGGAGGTGAGAGGCAGTACTGGGACTGAACTGCTGAACAGGTGGTGTGTGTGTTTCATCTCCCAGGGAGGATCCTTATCAATACTGGAAGCACTGATCTTGCCCTGTCTGCAGGGCAGGCATGGAATGGGCTCCAGTGGCAGCAGATCCAGCTGCCAGTTAGGACCTGGGATAATAAACTGCCCTGCTGTCTCTTATTTCACATCAGTGATGCAGCAGGAACCCCTTTTTCTCCCTGTAAGGGTGGTAGTGTCCCATCCTGTCCCAGGTCACTGAGAGGGCAGGAGATCCACCTGTGCTGTTCTAGCTGCACAGAGGAGTTCTTGTCCTTCTAGGCACCTGCTCACTCTGGCACATTTTCTTCTGTAGAATAAGGTAAAGGGAGAGAGGACCCAGCTCAGAGATTATATTCTATAAGTTATCTTTCCATAAAACTAAAAGTGCCTGTTTTCCCTGTGTGTGACTGAGGGTGTGTATGTGCTGTAGTTCAGATCCTGGACTAATCTGGGTGCACTCCACTGTCTGGAGCATTTGTGATGGTTTATAAAAACAGCCTGAAGTAATTAATGCAGATGATTGCATGCAGGCTGTGTCTGAGCATCCTGTGGGTGGGAGTACACAGCTGTAACAGGGCCTGAAGCACACTTCTTAATGCTTTCTGTATTTGAAACTAAAAACTTCCCTCACTGGAGGTAGTTCTTAGTGCAGTAAGCTGGGTCAAACCATTCCTTCCTTGAGGAGTTGTGGGGGCAGGGGCAGGTGGAGGCTGCAGCACCAAGCTGTGTGCTGCATACTGCTCTTGGGAGCTTTTTAAGCACAGGACTGACGTGTGATGAGGAGCCTGGGTTCCTCTGGGTGGATGAAAGTACTTGAGGGCCAGGGCAGGTCTAGGTCTAAGTCTAACAGGGCAGTGTATAAGTTGGCATCTCCTGAGGTGGCAAAACATGAGCAGACAGACCCAGCTGCATTACACAATATTTACTGAGGGAGGAGAAATCCTCAGTGATAACAAATCCCCAGGTGGCTGAAGGAAAGAGGGTAAAGGTGAGTGTGTGTGTGCTGAGTGCTGGGGGGGAGTGTGCAGCACCTCTTTCATCCTTCCTTACTCTCCTGTCCTCACCAGGAGGTGGGTTGGGGTAGGAAGGGGCATTGCAGATGCAGTGCAGGGGCAAGTTTTCCTGTTCCCAGGCAGAGCAAAAGTGGCTCTCCCCAGAGACCTTAAAATCCAGTGTCCCTCTGTTTGAGTGATGAGAGAGCATGACTGAGGAGACACCACCCTCCTCTGCAGTACCAAACTGGGGGTATTGCCCATCTGTTGGCAGAAATGGCAGCCAGTGCCTCTGCCAGTGGTGTGCTAAGGACTAGTCCTGGGAAGAGAGTGGGGAATCAGCAGGTGCTGTCCCCTCGGGGTCCCTCTGTTTGAGGGCAGTGTTTGTGTGCTGGGCCCAGAGGTGGCTCTTGGCTGAGCAGATCCTTGCAGGCTGAATGTCTTAGTGCAGCTGAAGAGCCAGCTCTGAGCTGCTGGTGTGGGTGTGGGCTGTGTTGAAATGCAGTCCTCTTCAAGCTGGTGGGTTTAAAAAAATGTGAAAAAGCTGTTAAATCAGTTTTGAAAGGGACATCTGCTAAAAGAAAATCTGCTATTGTTATGTAAATGTGACTGTAAGTAGGTACTGTCAGACTTGAGCCTGGTATAGTTACTGGACTATGTGATCTTGAAGGTTTGGGGCTTGCACTGTGACATGGGGTAAAGCAGTGCTGTCCCAGGTGGATGCTGTGAGTGCCATACAGAGAGCTGCCATGTCACTTGTCATTAAAATGCTAAATGATTTGCACAGCAGATCTTTTCACAGACACTTTCTGCTGGCAAGACTTCCTTGGGGTGCAGATTTCCACACTCTGGAATGTGCATTTGTGGGGAAAGTGCCTAACAGCTTGAAACACATGAGTGTTTCCTCCTTTCCCTTCTTTTCTCAACATGGAAGCCTTGAGATTATGCAATTTGTCAAAGGGTGTCTGACAGTGAGAACCTGACCTTGGACCTCTGTAATCCTAGTTGAGTGTCTCGAGGGATGGTGGTTCTGGTTAAATGTTATTCTAGATTTCTTCAGTCATCAATTTCTGGAGCCAGACTTGATTACCAGAGAGCAGCTACTTGATCTTTATATTTAGCTTACACAATTTGTCCTTGCCTTTGAAAGCTCTAGTGAGAAATTGGTGCTTATCAGACCATAAGTCTAAAAAATGGAATGGAGAGAGGAGGGGGAGTACTTGTGACTGGTACTGCAATTCTGGAACTCTCCAGGTTTGTTTCCTATTGCCAGGCATTATGTGGGCAGAGTTCAACTGAAACATAACTGTTAGTGCCAAACTGAATTATATCCAGGTGCTGCTGGGCACAACTCTCTGACTTTGTGGGTTTTTTTTTGATTTTTTTCTTGGTTTGATTTAAACTAAAGTGGAAAACAGCGTGGTCCTGTCTGTGCTTATGGAGAAGGCTTCTGTGAAGGGAGGGAGGTGTGCATTTGGTTCAGAGGTGGTCCAGGCACAGGTGTTGGGGAGCTGTTGTGGTCTGGGCCTTAGGTCTCAGCAGAACGTGGCTGTGGGGTGCCAGAACGTCTGGCAGGAGATGGGCCTGAGGGACAGAGAAGCCTCTGTGGAGGAGACTGGGTGCCCTGAAGTACATAGAGCATCAGGAGGAGGGAGTGGAAGGGCCAAGGTCTCACTTGGCTTCTTCTGGAAATGGGAGATAGTCTTGGGTGGAGCTGCTGAGCTGAGGCCTTGTCAGGTGGTGATGTTTGCCTGCCTCTCACCCTCCCCAGGCAGCAGCACTCCGGGTACTCGCTGCGCAGGCTCTGCATGTGAAGAGGGGGAGCTAGAACTGACCTTGCTGTCACAAGAGGGACTCCAGCAGCAGAGGGGTCTCCTCAAGTGAAGCAGAGTGGCAGGTGAGGAGGAGCACTGCTGGTGTGTGGTTTCCTCACGGGGTTGCCCTTTCCCTCCCAAGGCATCATCGAGAGGGACGAGACGCCCATGGAGCAGGAGATCGCGCGCCTGCGGCAGGCGGACTTCGAGTTCTCCGACATATTCTACTTCTGCAGGAGGGGCTTTGAGGCCATCGTGGAAGATGAAGTCACCCAGAGGTTTTCCTCCGAGGAGCTGGTTTCCTGGAATCTCCTGACGAGGACCAACGTGGACTTCCACTACGTCAGCGTGCGGCTGACGGTGGTGTGGGTGGCGGGGGTGGCGGTGCGGTACTGCCTCCTGCTGCCCCTGCGGTACGTGGGCCCTGCTGGGGCTGGGGGCAGCCTGCAGGGTTCAGCCCTGGCAGGTCCCAGAACACCCAACCTGTGTCAGCTCTGCTTTGAGTGCCAGAGCAGCCGTTAAGAACGCTTGCCATGCCGTTTCCCGTGGAGGTTGGGGTTCCCCTAAGTGGTGTGTTGGCAGCACGGGGGTGTGAGCTCTCTGCACAGTGTGCTTTGGGCTGTCTGAACCTGCTCCCTCTGGGAACATGACTTGGAGCATTGTCAGGGAATTAAGCTAGAGAACAGGGTATGTCAGATGCCTGAGGAATAATAAATTCCAGCAGTCCTTTCCCATTTTAAGGATGAAGTCATGTTAAAATGAGCAAAACTATCATTTTGATTTAATGTCTGCTTTGTCTGCAGCTTCACCCTTGCTGCCATTGGGATTACCTCAATGATTGTGGGGACAACAATAGTAGGACAGCTGCCAAACAGCAGGTGGGTACTGTGTGGTGTGAGGGACAACCTCACCAAGTTACATCAGTGCAAGTAGCTCATGGTTAGGACTGGACAGATTTTAGAAGTGGTGAACTATGGCTAGCCCACTTCACCTACAAACTTCTGGCCTTACTTTTAGTGGCATTTTGAAATTGGGCTAAGGATGGCTTCTTGCCAGGCCTGGCATTGAGATGGGTGTTTTCTGATGAGTCTGACATGACAAGAGAAGCCCAAAGGAGATATTGTAGGGGAGATAGCAGTGCTGGGATAAAAAATACCCAGTGAGCAGATGATAGCCTTGCCTAGGTTAGTGACACAGAGTGCTGTAGCCTTGGCTGAGCTGGGAATACCCAGCTGGATGTGGAGTACCAGGAGGATTCCAGCCATGAGTTGTGTTGAGTAGGCTGGAGAACACTGCTTGTGTATCCAGCTGCTTTCCAGGGAACTCAGCTGCCTGTGGTTGCTCCCAGTGTGAAGAACTACCTGAGTGAAGTGGTCCACCTCACGTGCTCCCGCATCCTCGTCAGAGCCCTGTCTGGGACTATCCACTACCACAACAAGTGAGTGAGCTGATGGGAGAGCAGGAGCTGTGTGTGCTCCTGAGTGTCCTGCTGGGAAGGGGGCAGCTCCTCCCTCACCTGCAGGCTCACCTGGCAGCTCTGTGAACTGCTGTGTTTGTGATGTGCTTGGTGCACTAGGAGTCTAACAAAACTGATGTCATTGCAGGGAGAACAAGCCTCAGAAAGGAGGAATTTGTGTTGCAAACCACACGTCGCCCATCGACGCCATCATTTTGACAAATGATGGATGCTATGCAATGGTAGGAGCAGACTCATCCTGACCACAGCAGGAAAGAGAGATTGTGGGGTGTTCAGAGAGATTGTGGGGTGTTCAGAGATTGTGGGGTGTTCAGAGAGATCGTGGGGTGTTCCTTCTGGAGTTCAGTGCTGAACTTCATGGGAGAGATGTTAACTCGAGCACCTGGTCAGTGTGGAAAGTATAAATGGTGTTGAAGTTGCTCTCCTAGTTGTGTGCTGGTGAAGCTGTCATCACAGGGTTGATGCTGGGCTCTTCAGCTGGGGAAATACCTGAGAGATGCTTCCATGGGCTGGTCCAGGTGCTTCCAAGTGAATCCATTTTCATTGTGTGTGGGCACTGCCCAGTCCTGGCTCTCGGTCTGCGGGGGTGTGATCTGTTTTGGGTTTTTCTGAGGGGGATGCAGAAGAGGGAGTTCTGCTTGTGGGGTGTCGCGTGTGCTGACGTGCCGTGTGCTCCGGCAGGTGGGGCAGGTCCACGGGGGGCTGATGGGGGTGATCCAGAGGGCCATGGTCAAGGCCTGTCCGCACGTCTGGTTCGAGCGCTCCGAGGTCCGAGACCGCCATCTAGTGACCAGGAGGTGAGGCGTCGGCAGCCGCCCCGCACGGCGGCCCGGGGGCTCTGAGACACGGGGACACGGGGGGGATGAAGCTTGGCAGAGGCAGGAGCCCAGGGGCTGGTGAGCTTGCAGTGGGGGACAGGAAACTCGGCACCTTGGGATGTTGAGAGGGTGAGGGGCTGACTTGTGAAAGCATCTCTAGCAGGAGCTGTTATTTGTCTTGTTCCAGGTGGTGGCTGCTGCTTATGAAGGCTGGTGGCAGGGGGACAAGTGATCAGTGGTTCCACAGGACTGTAGCTGGAGTGCTGCAGGGCATTACACATGGGGAGCTGTAGGCAGGAGTGGAAGCAGTCAGTACAGCAGTGCTCCTCCCTCCCGGTGAAGGTAGGTGAAGGTAGGTGAAGGTAGGTGAAGGTAGGTGAAGGTAGGTGAAGGTAGGTGAAGGTAGGTGAAGGTAGGTTCTACAGATCTAGTAGTGGCTCAGAAGCAGTTCTTGGAGTGAGTTGCAGGGGTGGTATGCAGCAAACCAGACCATCCCAAATGACACAAATGTGCTTGCTTGTGTGGGTGCAGCTGACTCTGGTTTAAAATGGCATTTCCAGGTCACTAAGGAAGGCTTGAAAAGTTTAGACAGGGGTGAAATGGTTCAGAGCAAGGCTTCTGGGTTGCAGCAGACTGTCACAATATCTGATTAATTGGACTGATTTAATGGTATGTTTCTTGCCTTCCCTGGCAGCCATTAATAATGGAGGAAAGACAGTACAATGTTTCATCAGTGTCAGGCACCAGGGGCCTAAGGGGTGGCTTGCACAAAGCTTTGGGTTTGTCAGAAACAGAAAAGGGAGTACAAAATAGTGTCCAAAAGGCTTTGATTTCAAATGAATGTGTTATATGTAAAGGTATTTTTAATGCACTTGCCTGGGGAAAGATTGGTGGGGAGGAGCTGGGTTTTTAAGCTTTACTTTTGCTTCCACAGACTCAGGGAACATGTGGCAGATAAAAGCAAGCTCCCAATCTTAATTTTTCCAGAAGGTAAGAAGCTGAACTGTCCCTTATCCCCATTTGGTGTAGATGTCATCCCTGTTCTCTTTTCATGGCTTCTGTCACTCAAGTGTATCTTCACCTGTGGCATAGATTTTATTAGGACATTCCTAATTTTCATCTTGAGTATGAAGTTATACAAAGGGGACATGATACTGCCCCTGGCTGTTGGGTCTCCTGGCAGAAGAATGTGAAGATTGTGGTGTTTTTTTCCACCCTCCCTGTGAATATCAATTCACTGTCCTACAGATCTGACTTCAGCCTTGTGCTTTTTGTCTGAGATGTGTTCTGGCTTCATTTAGGGAGTCAGACACAAGACAAAGAACTAAGGCAAGCAGGGGAGAGGTGCTTAACTTAAGGGCCTGTATTTGTTCCTCAGTGAGTGTAAGAGCTGCATGTTGATGTTGTGTTGTCCCTGAAATGAGGTGGGCTGTGTGAAGTAATGACTTGAGTTCCTCTTCTGGACAGGAACCTGCATAAACAACACGTCTGTGATGATGTTCAAGAAGGGGAGCTTTGAAATAGGAGGAACAATCTATCCTGTTGCAATCAAAGTGAGTGGAAGTTTGTCTGTTTCTGTCAGTGGTAGGAAGCTGTCTCAGAACAGCAGCTCTGGCAGTTAGCTGCATGCTGTGGTGACTGCTCGGGTGGAGGAGTCATCAGCCTGCAGAGCCTGCCTGGTAGGAGCTGTGGGGTCAGCTGCTTCCTCCAGAGAGCTGGAAGGAAGGGAGCTCTGGCTGGTCCTTCCCAGTGCTGAAGGGAAGGTGGGTGTGCAGCCCCCAGCAGCCCTGGCTGTGTGGGTGGGTGACATCTGCTGCTGGCTCTGTTGAGGAATCACAAGCAGCACTAATGAGCACAGGCTGATTTTCCTAGAGCCTCATTCTGAGCAAACATTTCAGTGAGGAATTTTCCTTTACTCTTGGCATGTGACTGAAAGGACCCACCCCAGGTCTGAGGCAGGCCCTGAGGGTCTGTGGGGAGTGGGTGTGTGTGATGGGGTGTTTGGGGTGTGTTGCAGTATGACCCCCAGTTTGGAGATGCCTTCTGGAACAGCAGCAAGTACAACATCATCAGCTACCTGCTGCGCATCATGACCAGCTGGGCCATCGTCTGCAACGTCTGGTACCTGCCACCCATGCTCAGAGAGGTAACCTGGCCCCTGATCCCTCTGCAACAGCCTGCCTCTGTGTGCAAGTGCCTCTTTATCCTCCTCTTCCCCCACAGAGCCCCTGCCCACCCATCTCTCCAGGTCAGAGTTGCATACTGGGCTCTTGCTGGTGCTGACTGGAACGTTTGGTTTGATTCAGCTTTTCCTGGTGTGTCTTGGTACCACCAGCTGTGCATCAGATATGCAAAGCTGCAATGCTGTTCATGTGCCATCATGTTGGGGAAAAGTCTTTCCCCTCATTTCAACACTTCAGAGGAAAAGTGAGCTAGTGTTATCACACTGGGACATCAGATTCTGTTGGCATCATAAGGGACAGATCATTTCATAGAGACCTAATTTGATGATGCAGAAGATGACAAGTGTTGTGGAAGTTTGTTTCAATTCACTTCTCTCTGCTTTATGTTCCATTTATGACACCTGAAGGAAGGTGAAGATGCTACTCAGTTTGCCAACAGGGTGAGATCAGCCATTGCTCGCCAGGGAGGACTGACTGAGCTGCCCTGGTGAGTGGTGCCACTCCTGTTAGACTCTGTGGGCTGCCTGTCTGAGAGCTGCTTCTTCCCTTAGCTTTGTCAGGGACTGTTCAGCATCAGGCCTCTCAGGAGCAAACAAGGCAGTAACTGCACATGCATGGATGTGTGTGTGAGAGTAGAAACAGATGCAGAGTCTTTGGAGCACCTAGCTCATTCAGTGAGCTTTGGCTAAAGGCCTGATGCCTTTGAAGAGGCTCCTTCCCAGCTGCTTCCCATGTTGGGGCTCATGCTGAGATGAAGTTACTTGACAAAACTGGTGAACAACAAAAATAGTGTTTGAGGCTTTCTGTTCTTTCTCCTGTCCTGCCTCAGTAAGTAGCAGCATAGTGCTGAGGCTTCATAGGACTGTGTGAAACAAACTTGAGAGAGATTCTGTTGAAGAGAATGGGCAAGTGGCTACATCTGAGAGGGTCAGCTGGCCCTCTGAGTGATGGGAACCATGAGCCAGCTGTACTCCTGCACAGCACTGACTGCTTCTACAGCAGTGGAGGTGATTGGCATCCCAGGCTGGCAAAGATTTCTGTGGCAACCTGTTGCCATGATGAGTAGGCTGCTTTAATGGGCTAAACTCAAAATTTGGACTGTGTAAGCCTTGTGGCTTAAAGTAAATGTTTTAATAAACATGCCTCAACTTGGATGTTCTAGAAGTTCTGAAGAAAAGCCTTAATAATCTTCTAATTTTAGACTCCAGAGTTGACTGAGGTAGTTAATATAATAGTTTGATAACAGTAGTGGTGTGACAATGACAATGAGCTACTTCTCTCTTGTGCTGTTCCAGGGATGGAGGTCTGAAGCGAGCAAAAGTCAAAGATACTTTCAAAGAAGAACAGCAGAAAAACTACAGCAAGATGCTAGTGAGAAATGGAGGTTTGTCTACAGGAACAGAGTCAGACTGAATGGTTCTTGAAAACCAATTTCACACAACCAGCCTTAGCAGGAATAATCTTTTTTTTTTTTTTAATTAAAAACCAAAACAAACCACAAAAACTGGAGCAACAGAACCCCTCATCACATGTCTGTACGTTCTGTGTGGCTGGTGCAGGGTCTGCCTCTCTGCCCCCACTGTCACTCCACTGTCTCACCTGCCCCTCCCCATCTCTGTGTGGTGATGAGCTGCAGCTCTGCCCCCCCGAGCTGCTGGGGGTGCTTCAGCCAGGAGACCCCCACGGCTTGTTGTGGGGCTGGAGGGAAGTGCACTCTGGGAGTGAAGACACCTCTTGTTCGTGGTACTCTGAAGCTTTACACATAACAAGGTTTTGTCTTTTTCCCCTGTTGTTCAGAGACTTTTAGTTGTGGAGGACTTCACTAAGATGCTTTAGGGTGTGGTCAGAGCTGCAGGATTGACTCTTGGTTGGCTTGCACCTGGATGTGGAAGGAGGGAGGGGAAGCAAGGGGTGGGAAAGGAGCTGCCCTGCCAGAAGCACCCTTCATGGACCACCAGGAGTTTGGCCTTACAACATGATGTTGCCTTTATTGAAAACTGCTACCTGAGGGAAGATCAGGGGCAAGTCCTCAGTCTCCCTGTCCACTGCTACTGTTAAAATTTGCTTTCTTGAGATCTGGAGCTGTGAAGGTAAGGTGCAGTAAGCAGCTGGATAATACAGCCTCTGAGAGATGAATTTTTATCAAGTGAGTTTTGAGAACTACCCTTCTGCAAGAAGTGCTGCTAATGTCTTAAAGATCTCAAGAGAGCCACTCCAGACACACGTTTTGTGTTGATCTGGGCTAGCAATAACTATCACAGCTATAACCATAGGATCCTGAGTCACCTGTGACACAATGTGGCATGTCCAAATCTGCAACACTGCTGTCTGAATGTAAAGAGAAATAAATTCTATATTTCTAATGGGTCTTGTGTGGCATTTATACTTCTCACTAAATGTGTGTAAATGGACACATTATACTCCCTGAAAACTTGAAAATAGGGTCGTGGAAATTCAGTCACTGAGACATAGAGGACTGACTGTAGTTGAGCTCTTTCCTAAATTCTAATCTATTATTTTCCTTTTTTCCCCTCTTCAGAAGGTACATTTGTGACTTAGTGTTAATTCTTTCTAGACTAGGAGTGACTCATGCAGACTGAACCTGAAATAATGTGAAATCACATCAGGGAGACTCAACTAACTTCATCTGTGTTTAACTGGAAAACAACTATGAGCTTTTAAATTGCTAACAAACAGTTCATCTGTAAGTGATCTTTTCTTATGGCAAAGAGACTTTAAATTTTAAGAAATTACTTTTCTACAGCTGAATCAAGTTTAAAAAAATGTGATATAGTCTCCTGCAAAGGGGTTCCTGATCTGCTTTCCATTATCCCTCAGCCCCACACTTACACAAGGACAACTATTCATTCATTAAATAGTATATGCATGCAGTCACACAGCACATTGTCTTGGAAATCTGCTTGTGAAGCCTTTGGGAGGTGTGTGACCTTGGGAAAAAACATTGGGAAGGAGCTCTTAAAGAAAAGCTCTCAGGTTTAGTGTGGCAGACCTTTAAGGACAAAATTGTTTATCTTAAAAGGGTTAGTTGTAATACAAGTGAGACACAGCACAAGTTTTCTTGCTTAATGTGAACCTAGTTCAACTTTGAATGGAGTTCTGTCACATCATTAACTGCTCCTGCAAGCTTTGGGCTAGGGAATGGGTTTGCCATGATTTATGGATATTGGCTGTGTACTTGAGCTCTCCTGGGTGGCAGTTGTGCTGGGAGGCTGTCAGGACAACTCCTGGTTCAAAACACACCCACATGGGTGCACATACCTAAATTGTATTTTATTGTGTGTGTGACACATTTAAAAAAAATATTCTGTATAAATATTGGGATGTGTAGCTATAATGTAGTATTTCTTCTCAGGTATAGATGATGATCCATTCCTCTGTGTGGAAGCAGAGCTGTTGTGGGGAAGGCTCCCATACCTGTTTCCAGAGGACCTTCCCAGCTGGCTGGGGTGCTCTCTGCAGTGCGGGCAGTGCTCACTGCTCTGCCCTGTTGGGGGGTGTGTGTGTGTTTTGCAGCAACAGGTCTGTGAGCTCTGGGAAAAGTGCCAGACACTTGCAGTCTGCTTCTTGTTTAGGGCAAAACTGGATTTTAAGGCAAAAAGCCTGGCTAAGTCAAAAGATGATGAAAGTAATGACAGGGTAATGAAATGTCTGGCAAGCCAAAAAAGTTCTGTGGCTTTTAGAATCTGACTTCAACAGGTCTACAAATAACCTCTTCTGAACCCATTGTTAAGCAGTCTGCCTGCTTTCCTTGACAAATTCTCTCCAAAATATGCAGGTTAGCTGTATGAGTGGCACTAAGGGCTGCATCAGTGGGGTGACCTGTAGGGCTGTGAGGAGAGGCATGGGTCAGTTCCCAGCTGCTGCAGGAGGGGAGATGCAGGTGGATTAAGCTGATGAGGTTTCTTGAACCTGCTGCTGCTCATGTATCTTTACCAAGGAAAATGTTGCCTTGCCTGTTTGACTCCATTACTGGCAGACTCGATAGGTTTTTGGTGTTGTCTCCCCAGAGGTCTGTCCCTATCTTTCTTCTGGGCCCCCTGTAAGTACTGAAAGGCTGCAGTTGTGTCCCTGGAGCCTTCTCTGCTGGCAGAAGAACCTCAACCCTCCCAGCCTTTCCTCACAGGAGAGGCTTCTCTGTGACCTGCTCCAACAGCTCCATGTCTTTTTGTGCTGGGGATTCCAGAGCTGAACACTGAAGGGCAGATTCACCTACCATGGCCAACTGCCCCTGCTGCTGTTGCTGCAGTCCAGTCCAGGTTGTGGTTGTCCTGGGCTGTGAGTGCTCATTGCTGCTTCACGTCCAGCCTGTCACCCACCAGCACCCCCAGGTCCTCTGCAGGGCTGCTCCCAGCCCTGTCACCCACCAGCACCCCCAGGTCCTCTGCAGGGCTGCTCCCAGCCCTGTCACCTCAGCCCCTGTGGACCCTGGGGGTTACCCTGACCCCTTGGTGCAGGTTCTCCTGGGTGTCTCCCCCTGCAGAGCTCGGGGTGGGGTTGGCAGGCTTGCTGGGGGTGCAGCTGCTCCCCCTCTCACTGCAGATGTTGAGCAGGACCCTGAGGGAGGTGGCTTGCAGCAGGGGTGCAGTGCTGCCTGTGAGCATGTGCACTTGGGCAGGGGAGCTGCTGAAGAGTCTCTGAGTCCTGGCTGGGGTGACAGCAGCTGTTCAAGCTGAGCACTGATGGGGAACTGTTGATGTTATCCCATCCATGCTTTTTGGCACTGCTGCTCCTGAAGGAAGTGCCCGTGCCATTCCCAGCTCTGATTTCTTCCCCTCCACAATGGTGTTTTGTGCTTGTTTTCCCTAGAATGGACATCATAAAGGCAGAAATGTGACCTCAAGAGTCAAGATACAGACTCCAATTATTGTTCACTGTCTCCATCTTTTTATTAAATTTTATGAGGCTGTTTTTTCCCCCCTGATTTGCTGGATAAAATCTATACAAATGAAATAGAAGCACAGTCAGTAAATAAGGATGAAAAGGTAAATTCCTCTTCACAGAGAAGCCAGTGCATGGAACCATCTGCAACGATGGTGATTTTTTTTCTTTGTACAGATCTGAAAGCTATTACAGCCTTTCAAAATTAATATCTGGCTTTTAGGCTCTGTAATGGTTTGTGTGACCTCTTCTTACCCTTTGCCTAATAAGACGAGTGATACTGTTTTCCAATGCAAGGCAGACAGGAGCTAGAGGAGGTCAATGGGCAAGAGTGATCCCTCTGTTCAATAGTGTGGGATGGGCAAGTGCTTGGCTCAGTCTCCCGAGGTGGGATCACCTCTGGGGCAGAGGGAGGTGCAGTTCTGTATCCACAGATCTCCCTGCCAGCTCCCTGCCTCTCCTCTGGGCTGAGCCTGGCACAGGGGTGGGGATCACTGGAGGCAGCTGGGCTGCCCTTGGAGCAGTGCTGTGGAGGGAAGGGCCACCCAGCCCCACCAAATTCCAGGGGGGTTTCAGTGCCCCATCGGTGCCAGCCACTGTTGTTGCCCTTATGCCAGTGGTGTGCAACTTATGGGCTGGACTCCATCCAGTTTTTTGCTCACATGCCATTTTGTGGGCACAGCATGTCTTGAAGACCTGCTTTTGTAGGGGTTTGCATTTCAGAGAGAGTGTGGGAGATTAATAACCCTGAACTTCTGTGGGTGGTTCTGCTCTGCGACGTCTCGACGCTATTCCACTAGTGTAACTTGGTTCATTTTACTGGGGTCATGCTGTTTAAAGCAAGAAAGGATCTCAGAAGTGAGGGTTTTAGCTAAGCCTTGGGTATGTGTCCTGTCTTCCTGCTTCAACCTTTAAGTCCTGATAATTCAAGAGCTGTGTCATGTAAAAGCAAGTTGCACAAAAATGTAAAATTTGCTTTCAAACCTTGAGGCTTGTGCCTTAATCCAGCCACAACTGGGTATGTGGCAGGGAAGAGATTTCCTGCCAAGCAATCCTGACTCCCAGCTGATGACTGCAAGAAGGTTTATTGGTTTGGTTGATTTGGTTGGTGGTGTTTTGTTGGGGGCTTTTTTTTTCCCCCTCCTCCCCCTCAAGTTCCATCTCTGTGTAGTTAATTGTCAGGAGGGTAACTCGTACCCTTATCTTTCTACAAAGCAGTGGAAACGTTCTGGCTCTGGGCAGTGGAAAAGGCTTTTGGGGTGAACTGGTGCTGAGCTGGGAGCAGGGACTTGGCTTTCACAAGTCAATGCTCCTTGATGCCCTTCACGTTTCCAGGCAGAGGAGGTTCCTAGCAGGGCACTGCTCCACTCCAGCCTGGGCCCTGCTGCCCCTCGGGTGAGCTGGGGTGGGTCAGGGCTCTGCTGAGGAATGGGGGGTTCTGTGGCCTTGGCTCATCAGGGCTTCCCATGCCTTTTGTCATGTGCTTGTTGTAACCTAGGTGGTGGTGGTGGGTG